CCATCCCTCCCTCTCTCTCTCTCTCTCTCTCTCTCTCTCTCTCTCTCACACACACACACACACACACACACACACGGTTTAGGAGAGAGAATTTACACTGAATGACAACATTTGGTATCATCAGTACATATGCATAGTTGTACAATTCAGAATTTGGGAAATCGAAACCTCATATTTTAATAACAACTGCATCTTGTTAAAGATATATTGAAAAGGATATGTAGAAAGAGACTGTTTGAATTGAAGAACCCCATAGAAATTTACTGAAGAACATATTTCATTGTGTAAAATCCATCATTGTGTGTGTGTGTGTGTGTTTTTTCTCTTTGTGAATAAAAAACAATCTACTCTAAACATGAAATATGCTGGGAATTACGTGCATTCTGAGAATATTTACTATATCCAAGGGGTGGGGGTGGTAATATTTAAAAATATCCATCTATCAAAATCCAAAGAAAGAACCTTACATAACCTGTTAGTGTTTCATGCATTAATTTGAGAAATGTTGTGTTGAATAAAAAGAGTTTAAAAATGATAACTATTTAATGTACTGATTAACAAGTATTTGCCTATTAACATAAATTCTGACAAACCAGCTAACAAAGTATCCTACAACTTCCTTCAACATATTAATCCAGAGGGTGGATGGGGCCACCCTCTGGATTAAGGAGAAAGATACACAGACAAAACACTTAATTAAGTGTCTTGTGCAAGCTTTATTTTTCACACTTCTAATTTTATTCATTCTTTCTTTAGATTACAGAGACTACATTAAAAAAAAATTTCAAACAATGAAAGATCCTAATGCTGTTCCAGGTGAATATGTGCTCTTCAATCAGAGATACTCAAAGCTAATGATCCTAGATTATCACCCATCTAAAGAGGAGAGAGAACATGAAATTCTTGCTATAGGATGGAAACATCGTGAAATCATCAGCAAAAGAGCCGAGTCTTCCACCAGCATTGAAGCATTATTTAACCCTGATAAATGTGGATTAATTCCACAAGTTGTTGTACTACAAGGAGCTGCAGGAATTGGAAAAACCATAATGGTCAAAAAAATCATGCTTGATTGGGCTTCTCAACATCTTTACCAGGACAAATTTAATTATGTTTTCTATATTTGCTGTAGAAAGATGAATCTCCATGCAGAGGTAGAGAAGAGTAGCATTGCAGAGATAATTTCAGAAGGATGGCTCGAGCATAAATCGAAAAATGTCATTCAAAATATACTGAAAAATGAAGAAAAGCTTCTATTCATAATTGATGGGTTTGATGAATTAAGATATTCCTTTGATCAGTCTGAAAACTACTTTTGCATTGATCCCCGGAAGAAGGAACCAGTGAGAATTCTTTTGAAGAGCTTATTTCAAAAAAAGCTTTTTCCTAAATCCTTTCTTATAATCACAACAAGACCAACTGCTTTGAAGAAACTCCATCAATGTTTAGAGCGCCCAGGCTATTTTGAGGTACTGGGATTTTCTACAAAGGAAAGAGAAGAATATTTCTACAATTTTTTTGAAAATAAAGACCAAGCAACTCAAGTTCTCAGATTTGTTAAACAAAATGATACGCTTTTCACCATGTGTGTCATTCCCCTTGTGAGCTGGATCATCTGCACAGTAATGAAACAGGAGATGGAGAGAGGCAAAGATCTTCAGAAGACACCATGCACCTTCACTGAAATCTATATGCTGTATCTCTCCAGTTTGTTAAAGTATCACCATAATGAATCCACCATAAAGGTTGTCCAAACCAATGTGAAAGGCTTATGCTCTTTGGCTGAAGAAGGAATCCGCAAACGGCAAATACTATTTATGGAGGAAGAAGTCAAGAAGCACATGTTAGATCAGGGAAACTCCCTCCCCCTTTTTCTGAATGAGAGCATCTTCAAAAGGGACATTGATTGTATTCAAACCTACAGCTTCATTCACTTAAGCTTCCAGGAGTTTTTTGCTGCTCTGTTTTATGTCCTAGAAGAAGAAGAAGATGAGCAGCATTCTCAAAATCTGAATAAAAATTTGCAGACATTATTAGAAACACATATATCTTTTAGGACTGATTTTGCAGTAGGATTTCGCTTCCTCTTTGGTTTTTTTAATGAAGAAAATAGAATGAGAGAGTTGAAAAAAGAATTTGGATGGGAAATTTCTCCTAAGAGTAAAGAATTAATGCAAGACTGGGTGAAAAATAATCTTAAAAAAGATAGTTATGGTTTCAGAGAGCTAACAAAAATGTTTAGTTATTTATATGAGACACAAGATGACAATTTTATAAAAAATGCACTAAGTGGCATAACTGAAATGGATTTTGATTGCGACTCTGATATGGAATTGATGAAGTTCAACTATTGTATACAACACGTCCAGAATTTAGAGGCACTCTCTGTTAAATATTTTCCTCTTTCAAGAAATTGGTAAGTAATTTGAAAGTCTGTTGAACATTTCATTTAGTTTATGATCCTGTCACCACTTTTCTATAACTTACTGTTTCAAATATAATAATAGACCAGAAAAATGTCACTTGGGAGTATGCATAAGTGTGTTTGGGCAGCTGAGTTAAAGATGGCTTTCAGTCCTTAGAAGTGAAGATAAATATTTTCTGAGAAGTGAAGCAATATTCCAGTATTTGAGAGGCTGCCACAAAGAAGAGGGGGTCAAATTATATTCAGGGCAGGACAAGAAAACAATGGATGGAAACTAATCAAGGAGAGAAGCAACCTGGAGTTAAGGAGAAACTTCCTAACAGTGAGAACAATTACTGGAACATCTTGCCTTCAGAAATTGTGGGTGCTTCACAGTGGTGGGTTTCAAAAAATTTTAGAACCTCTTCTGTAGGTGTGGCTTGCTTTGTGGGAGTGGTTTGCCAGCCATGTGATTGAGTGGAGTGGCTTGGCAGTCATGTGACTGGGTGGGCGTGGTCAACTTGTAAAATCTGGTGAAACTCACTTAACAACGCTCTTGCTTAGCAACCAAAATGTTGGCTCAAAAACTGTGGCATTTGAAGCACGTAAGTCTTAAAACTGTCAAGTTACAAGATCCTTGCACCCCTAATCCTTTAGAAAAAAACCCCAGGGGTGTTCAAACTTGACAGCCTTAAGACTTGTGGACTTCAACTCCCAGAATTCCTCCTCTTGCTTTACATCTTGATGATGTGCAGACGGACGGTGGGGAGGGAGCTGGAACCGGTTCTAAATGGCACTGTAGATTTGTGGAATCTCTTCTATAGAAGAGTTTAGAACTGGCAGGAACCCACCCCTGGTGCTTCAACACTGGAGGTTTTTAAGAAGAGACCGGGCAGCCATTTGTCTGGAGTGGGATAGGATCTCCTGCCTCAGCAGGGGGCTGGACTAGAAGACCTCCAAGGTCCCTTCCAGCTCTATTCTAATCGAATGAAAAGATAGCTTGGGCTAGCTGGGATAGGAGGATGATTTAAAATGAGCAGTTGTCCTTTTGTGAGGCCAATATCAATCAATCCTGCTCAAACTTAAAGAGCCTTATCATAACATCATCAGGAAGTGTTTATTTCAGCTCAAGAGCAGAGAGGCAATTGCTATTGAGATCTAGATGCTGTAGCAGTTTTAAATAAACAAATTAAAAAGTTGATTATTTTATGCAGAGCCCACTCCTGACAGTCTTTACAGAAATTTGAAGTTCACTGGGCCATAGTAAAACTCAGGGTCTTTCTCCCTTTAATTAAAAAGAGCTAATTCAACAATCTCAAATGTTCCATTTGAGAGTTTCATTGCATGTAAATTTTTCCCTCTTACATGGCAGATAACATAAAAAGGTGCTTCTGTAATAATTGGAAACTTCTTAAGCTCCTCCCTTAAAACAAGGTCATTTTGAAATTAGTCATTTAAAAAAAAGATTGACTATATCTGAGATTTTATCTGAGATTTTAATTCAAACCCTATCTCATTTTCCATTTCAAATACGAGGAGTAGATTGAGAAAGGAAAGGAATTTCTCCCAGTGGTGTGACTTGAAGACAATTCCTGGGAGAATATTTTCTCTGCTTCAGCATTGAATTGATAAAGGGCTCATTTTCTAGTCTTGTTGAGAAAATTGTTATACTGAATAAACTGCAGGATTAACATTTAAGACCCCTCTTTTACAGTTTTTTAAAATTATTTCATTCTTGTGAAGATTGGCTTCAATGTAGGTTTTTTTCCTCCAATAGAAGGAAACAAGAATAATTTGTACATTGTACTTTGTAGCTGCAAAGTTGACTAACTTTCCCAGGTATTAGACTTTTCTGGTTTAGCCACAAGGCTGAGCTCATGTTCTTCTCAGACTGTGCTTAACACAGTGTGTTGTTGCACTTAGAGACTCCTGAAATATTCTCTGTTCTTATTTCTTTTCTTTGTATTCAGGATGCCACTTCAAATCTTAATTCCTTCAAGAGATGCTCTAGACATACAATAAGTTCTTGACTTATGATAGGTTGTTTAAAGTTAAGATGGACCCGCAAAAGTTACTAACAATTCAGTTCTGAAGTTATGAATGCTGCAACATCCCTGCAGTCATTCGCCCTTACAACTACCATATTTTTCAGCGTATAAGACACACCTTCCCCCCCTAACAGAGGGTGAAAATTTGAGTGCGTCTTATACACTGAATGTAGCTTCACCCACGCACTGGCCCCCACCCTTTGGCCTATGCCTTCCAGAAATTTGCCTCCTTGCAGCAAACAGGGAACATGGGGTTTTTGGAGGTGGCAATAGGCTATAGCCAGGATGGTGAACCTATGTCACGCATGCCACGTGGCACGCGGAGCCATTTGTTAGGGCACACGCGGCATTGCTCTGTCAGCTCCAACATGCATGCACATACTGGCCTTCATTCAGCCGTTTTTTGCCCTCCAGAGACTTCAGGGAAGCCTCTTGAAGTCTCTGGAGGGCCTTGGGGGGGGGATGCCATTTTTGCCATCCCCAGGATCCTAGAAAGCCTCTGGGTGAAAAATGGTTCATCATGCGCCAAAAGCAGGGGGAGGGTGGGGATCGTGCACATATGCATGTGGGGGGTCTCGCACATAGAATTATAGGTGTGGGCATGCCAGCGCATGACCTCTCCTGCACTCCCCCCCCCCGCTTTTGGCACATGATGGCACAAAGGTTAACCATCACTGGGCTATAGCAATCCCTGCAGTCTGAAACAGCCGTTGATTGGGAGAGGCCCCTGCTGAAACTGAAAGTGAAACTTGCTGTTTGCTGCACAAGGCAAATTACTGGCAGATTTTTTTTTCTTGTGCTAATCAAGCTGTTTGCTGCAAGGAGGTAAGTCAATAACTATAAATGCCTATAGAATGTTCAAATGATTAGACTTTATTTTTAAAGACTTCTTTATTATTGTTTTAGGCAACTTAACAAAATGAAGAAGCTTTTTAAAATAAATGCTTGATCTGAAGAGGCTCAATGCTATTGTATCTTCTTTTAAATGGCTTCCCACCCCACTGGATCCCACACCATTCTCCTCACCTTTCATCAACCATAGCACCCATTTTGAAGAGCTCCAAAGCTCCAGAACTTGGATTAGGGAAGGAGGGAAAGTCATGCTGTTCACTAGCCATGTGGCTTGATTCCAGCTGTGGCCACCATTTTAAGAGTGGCCGATTGAATAGTGGCCAGTCCAGAATGGTGCTCAATTCTGAAAGCAGGCCATGTCGGTTAGCAATGGGGCAGCTTGCTCTTCTCCAGAGCCATTTCCAGAGAGCTCCATAGTCTTCACAGTGCCCCATAGATCACATTGGAGAAGAAGAGAAAGCTGGTCCATCTGTAAACTCCATGGCCCACTTTCAGAAGTGAGCACGATTTTGCAGTGGCCAAAATTCATTGAAGTCAGTCTGAAAATGGCATCTGCTTCTGGAAGTGAAGCACACAGCCTTGAGACAGAACAGTTTGCTCTTCTTCTCCAATGTGCTCTACATGTCAGCCCTGGATACATCTTATAGGGCTGCCACAGTGGGACCGGGAGAGTAGCAAAGGGAGTAAATCATAACAATATTCTTTCATGAGATCAAGGCCTGGATCAAGGTCAGACTGCTGGCACCTGGAGGGGAGTGATCAAAGTTTGGCAGCAGTTGAGACAGGGGGTTGATTGGGCCATGTGATGTGAATGTCAGTGAACAGGGCAGGATGTGAGTTTTAGTATGGGGGGGGGGGAACACAATATTTCAGATTTGGGTTTTCTCCAGATAAGCCAATATGACTTCTTCAATAAATTCTTACTTTGATGGACTTTGTCTCGGAGTTCTGAATTGTTATGAGGAGTTAGTTGGAATGCTGATGAAGATTTCCTCAATGTGATCTACAAATATAAGTGTGTAATTGGTGATGACAGTTGGGGTGGAATATATGGGATCTGGTAGGTTGAGAAGGTGGCCTAAGGTCTATGAGGAGCCTGAGGGGAGGGAATCAGAGCACGGGGTTTCCTCAGAAGTGATTTTATGAGGCCCATGGCAGAACCTGCATTAAGCCTCCCAGGGCCTCCCAGCAAGCACATGGTGCACCCTGTGCTTCATTTAATGACCACTTTGGGGAGAGCATGGGTAGGGAGTTATGTAAGACAATCACATGGGAACTGCACAGCTGTCATGACTTCGGACTGAAATGGGCAGATTCCAACCATTGTTGGTCAAAAGAGTACCTGTAACCATTTCATTTACAAAGTGGTCTTTTTCTACTACTAATTTCTCAAGCTGCAATATGAGTGAATTTATTTGTGATTCCTTTTCAAATGGACTGGAATATATTTGCAAAGTAGAGTAACTGGTAAAAGTCTGTATCTTTCCTTTTTAGGCATCAGTGTTTGGATGAAAGAATTGTGGAAGACTTCTTTAAAGCACTGACAAAACTGAGAAATTTAGAATTCCTGGAGTAAGAAAGTGCTAGTATTTTATTTTAGATGGTATTGATAATGAAACCACTACATAATATTAGAAGTTTGTGTATTAAACTAAATATATTGTTACAGCAGTCTCTCATCAATTTCTCTTGGTCAACAATAGAAGATGCTTTACTAGGAGTTCCCGAAGCCTACCATGGAACTGAGTTATAATTGGCACTGAGAGAGAAGAAAACACAATTTGGAAAACTCAAGGAAGGGTGCAGTACTTTCACTGGGATTTCTTATTGAGAGGCAGGAAATAGACTAGAACAGAACATGGTAGAATAGTATTCTTTATTGGCCAAGTGTGATTGGACATACAAGGAATTTATCTCTGGTCAATAAGCTCTCAGTGTACATACAAACAACAAAATGGTAAGTCATAGATCATAAATCATAACATACAATGACAATTGATAAATCATAATATACCAATAGGAGAAGCTGGTAGGAAAGATGAAAAGTGAGAAAGATGAGAGGATGAGAAAGATGAGAAGATAACAAGGATAATAGCAATACAGGTTACTATATGGATACATATCTTTAGGCATAAATGCTGTAGGAGTTAGGTTTTTAGCAGAGTGATGGCATGGGGGAAGAAACTATCTTTGTTTCTAGATATTTGGGTGTGCAATGCCCTATAGTGGCATCTTGAGAGGAGAACTTGAAACAGTTTATGTCCAGTATGTGAGGGGTCTGTAAATATTTTTTCAGTCCTCTTTCTGGTTCGTGCAGCATGCAGGTCCTCAGTGGAAGACAGGTTGGTTGCAACTTTTTTCTCCTGCAGTCCTAACTCTCTGTTGAAGTCCGTACCTGTCCTTTTTGGTTGCTGTGCCAAACCAGACAGTTATCAAGGAACAAATAACAGACTCAATTATACCTCTGTAGAACTGTATCAGCAAATCCTTGGGCATTCTGAGATTTCTGCATTGAAGAACATTTTTTGTTGTGCCTTTTAATAATGTTTCTAACATTAGGTGTCTATTTCAAGTCCTGGCAGATTATAGAACCCAGAAACTCTAGTATCTACTGTTGATACTGTGTTGACTAAGATTGTTGCAGGTGATAGAATAGGAGGGCTTCTCTTAAAATCTACCACCATCTCTACAGTTTTGAATGTATACAGTTCAAGATTGTTCCAGCTGCACCACAGGGCCAGTTCTTCAATGTCCCATCTATATGCAGATTCGTCATCATCTCAAATAAGACAAATCACTGTTATATTATCTGCAAACTTCAGTACTTTAACAAAGGGATCCTTTGAGATGCAGTCATTGGTATAGAGAGAAAAGAGTAGCGGAGAGAGTAAGCCACCCTGAGAGGCACCTATGCTAATTGTACAGGTAACTGATGTGATTTTGCCTAGCTTTACTTGCTTCTTGCTATCTGTTAGAAAGCTTATGATCCATCTGTAACTATGGTCAGGCACAGCTAATTAAGTCAGTTTGTAGACAAAGATTTCAGGAAAGATGGTGTTGAATGCCGAGCAAAATCACATCAGATACCTGTACAATTAGCACAGGAGCCCCCCGGGCTGTGTGCTCTCTCTACTTTTCTTCTCTCTATACACCAAGGACTGCATCTCAAAAGATCCCTCTGTTAAAATACTCAAGTTTGCAGATGATACAACAGTGATTGGTCTCATTCAAGACCGCAATGAATCTGCATACAGACGGGAGGTTGAACAACTAGCCTTGTGGTGTAGCCAGAACAATCTTGAAATAAATACTGTACTTTTCGGAGTATAAGATGCACCGGAGTATGAGACGCACCAAGGTTTTGAAGAGGCAAATTTTTAAAAAGTAGGTAGGTAGATAAATGGAAAGAAAGAGAGAGAAATAGAGAAAGATAGAGAAATACAGTAGGTAGGTTGGGAGAGTGTGTGTGTGTGTGTAGGTAGGTAAAGGGATTAAGAGATAGAAATAGAGAGAGAGAGAGATCCAGTTGATAGGTAGGGAGAGAAAGAGGTAGATAGAGGGATAGAGAGAGAGAGGGAGAAATACAGTAGGTAGGTGGGGAGAGAAATACAGTAGGTAGGTAGGGAGAGAGATGGGTAGGTAGGTAGATAGAGAGAGAGGGAGAGAGAGAGAGAGAGAGAAATACAGTAGGTAGGTAGGGAGAGAGAGAATAGGTAGGTAGGTAGATAGAGGGATAGAGAGAGAGAAATACAGTAGGTAGGTAGGTAGAGGGAAAGGGAGAGAGAGAAATAGAGATAGAGAAATACAGCAGGTAGATAGGGAGAGAGTGTAGGTAGGTAGGTAAGTAGAGGGATAGAGAGAGAGAAAGAGAAAGAGAGATACAGTAGATAGGTAGGGAGAGAGACAGAGTAGGTGTCAGGGTTCCAAGTATCATGTAGAATTAAAGCAGAGTCCAAGGCAAAACAATACTTAAAGTTCCAATTTAATAAATCAAACATTTTAGCACATCTGTGTAATCCCAATTCTGGAAATTACATCAAAATCCCACCCAGTTAAAAGTTCATGATCTTGTCCCCACACCCACAATCCATCACATGGTCCAATCTTCTTCCACGCTGTCATCTACATCCAGCTGCTTCCAGTCAGGTGTAAAAGTGCGAAGACAAAAGATGACCTTGGCTTCTAGAAAGGAATGACAACAACACATTCCACAAT